TTTTCTAAATAACCCCCCCCCCCCCTTCACCCCCCACCCCCAAACACCCCCCAAACACACAGCCCAACCCGGTATAAACAAAAAAAATTGAAAAAAACAAAAAATAAATAAATTAGGCCCGAACCGGCCGAGCCGGTTCGCATTTTTAGGGGGGCCGAACCCGCACCGGGATTAGAGCGGTTCCGGTTGGCTCGAACTGGCCCCAAGATCGGGTACCGGGCTGGGCCGGGCCCAAACAGTACCGGCACAACTAGAAAAAGAGCCTACAGTGACACTAATTTAGTGTCGCTGAAACTTTCTGCGACACTTAAAAAGCGTCGGGGAAAGTGGCGGCTAGCGACACTAAATATAGTGTCAGTGACGAGGGTACGGTTTTGTGTCAGCAAATAATGACACTAAGTTGTCGTCTAAAATAGCGACATTTATGCATCAAGAACACATTGTGACATTAATACATCGCAAAATTTAATGACATTTTAGCATCATAGATTTGTGTGACACTTTAGCATCATAGATTTTTATGACACTTTTAGCATCATAGATTTTTATGACACTTTCAGCATCATAGATTTTTATGACACTTCAAAGTCACTTGGCTGGTTTTGTTTATTGGGCCTATTAGGGCTAGATTTGAATGTTTACTTCATTCATAAATATTATTATATAACATCCAAAAGACTAGATACCAATCTGTCTCATAACATCCAAAAATTAATGAATACCCAAAACACATCATTTAACATATAATAAGTAACACTTTCACATTCTTGTTCAATTACATTTCCTACCGCCGGATAAAAGATGTAGCAAAATTCCAACAACATTCCCGCAAAAAACCGGCTATTGAATTCAGCAAAATAACTAGTACCAAGCATCATTGAAGATGCTAAAATACAAACAAGTCACATTCCCAACAGGTACCAAAAAATGATGGTAGAAAATATTGCTCAAGACAGCACATGGTGATGTGGTGACTGGACTCTAAATCATCAAGTGAATCAGGATCTAGGACCTTCTCACATAGTCTGTTGAAGAATAAGCACATACTAGTTATCGCGTTGGTAACATTTTCTGCCACTGACATGTTCCGAATGGCCAAGGGAAGTATTTGTTGCATCAAGGTATGACAATCATGAGATTTTAGACCTTGAAGTTGACTGTCATCATCAGAAACTATGCTTTTCAGGTTTGATGAATAACAGGCACTTTTATTTGCAGTATGGTTTCACAAAATTTTTGTTTGTCTTTTTTGCTCAGGGTGTAGGGTGCTGGAGGCAATGATTTGGAATTCTCTTTAGGAATTAAGTTTTTCCTAATGTTCAAATGAGCAAGGTCATCTCGAGCTCTAGGTCCATCTTTTGTTTTGCTCGATTGATCAAGAAGCGTTCCATAGATGCTCTCACACACATTCTTCTCTATGTGCATCACATCTAATAGATGGCGAACCAACAAATGCTTCCAATACTCTAGATAAAAAAAAATTGATTTGCGCTTGAACAATTTATTGTCTCCATCATTGTGATCACGCTTTCTCTTTCTTTTGCGGTCCTTACGCTTCCCGCTTTTGTAATTTATTCCTTCAACCAACTTCAGAACATCTTCACCGGAGAGGGTTGCTGGAGGTCCCTCTCTCTCAACTTGATTATTGAAGACTTTCTTTAAATCTCTAAACCTGTGGTTTTTTGGTAAAAAGCGCCGATGGCTCATATAGACACATTTCTTACTACATTTCAGCCATATTGAACGAGTGCCCGACCCACAAATAGGACATCCAAAATACCCCTTCACGGTGCTACCAGACAGATTACCATAAGCAGGGAAGTCACTTATGGTCCACATCAATATAGCTCTTAACCTGAAGGTCTCCTTTCTAAAACTATCGAAAACATCTACACCATCATTCCACAGGGTTTTTAGGTCATCAATCAGGGGTTCTAAATAGACATCTATATCATTCCCAGGAAGTTTAGGACCAGAAATTAAAAGAGACAACATCATGAATTTTCTTTTCATGGTCAACCAAGGGGGAAGATTATAAATGACTAACTGAACAGGCCAACAACTATACGAAGAACTAAGTGAACTGTGTGGATTTACTCCATCACTTGAAAGAGCTAACCTCAGATTCCTAGGATCTTGACTAAAATCAGGCCACATTTTATCAATGTGATGCCAAGCTTGAGCATCAGCAGGATGACGTAATTTACCATCTTTAATGCGATGGTCTACATGCCATGTCATGTCTTCAGCGGTTTTAGTAGACTGGAACATACGTTTGAACCTAGGAATTGGAGGAAAATTCCAAAATACTTTCTCAGGAATTCTACTAGTAGTTGTTATGGATCCATTCTTTGTCTCTTTCCACCTAGACTCTCCGCACGTAGGGCATTTTTCAAGATCACTGTGTTGCTTATGAAAGAGGATGCAATCATTGCGACAAGCATGTATCTTTTGGTAATCCAAACCCAACACCTTCATTATTTTTTTAGCTTCATACATTGACTTGGGAATGGTGTTATCAGTGGGTAGTAGACTCGAAAGAGCTTCTAATAAAGCTGAGAACCCTTGATCAGACCATCCATATTTTTCTTTTACATTATGCAACAACAATAATCCTGAAAGCCTTGTATAACTTGAACCTGAGTATAATGGTTTCTCAGCGTCTTCAACTACATCCTTAAACCTCTTTGGGTTACCATCTAGTTCTTCATAAACATTGCCTAACAAGTCACCAATTTCATTTTGATCATGAAAATTTGATTGAGAAGGATTAAAGGTTGGATTTTTTTCGGTCTCTCCATGCCTAGTCCAAACAAGGTACGTTTCCAGAAAACCAACTTTTAACAAATGTACTTTTATTTGTTCAGGCTTATGAAATTCCATGTTACAACAAGTTCTACACGGACACCTAATTGATCTACGATTTTCTGAGTTAAGCATAGAACATTGTAAGAACTCATCAACTCCATTTCTATATTCTTCAGACAACCTGTTCCCATCCTTTATCCAAGACCTATCCATCTCTCAATTCCTGGTAATTATTAGATCCCAACACAATATTTAGTGTTGGGATATATTATCTCGGCCTATTACTGTTCAGGAGCCCAAGACATTATCCAGTACGGAGCCCGAGCAGCTAGGTCCATTTCGGCCCATTCTGGCCCGCTTTGGCCATTAGGCCCGACATCGGCCCGTTTGGCCCATTAGGGTGGAGAGCCCCTTCTCCCCTTCCCCTATTTATAGGAGGTTTTCCCTCCATGTAAAGGATCTTTCCTTCTTCCTTCTTCCTTTAGAATAGTTTTGCAAGATTCCATTAATGGAGCTCAAATTGTACTATGTAATGGTGAGGAGAGTCTAATGAGAATGAGAGGGCTTGGACATTAGCCTAAAAAGTCCCGTGGTTTTCTCCCTTTCGGGTTTCCACGTAAAAACTGAGTGTTCATACATATATTTATTATATCGTGTTGGATTAAACTCAACACTGGCGCCGTCTGTGGGAATCTGTCCAAAAAGATTCGTGTGTTCTACTGTTCTTGAGTTCTACAAAAAATTCATACGAGTGGACTGATTCCAACAAAGAAAAAGCATTCTGGAAAGCAAAAAAGAAAGAAAAACTACTGATTTCAACAACAAAAATTAAGGAAGAAGCTACTGATTCTAGCAGGAAGAGGGGAGGAGAAGCTATGGATTCTGAGAAGTCCAAATCTGGATTTTCTCAGGTCTGGGTTGGAGTTACCGGAGCCGCCGTCGTCTTCCGCGCCGCCGTGGGCCCTCCGGTGGGTTCAGCTGCACTAGGAGAAGCTCGCCGTCCTGGGACCCGCCAATCCGGCTCTAGCAAACACCGCCTACGACAGAGTCGGTCATGGCTAGCTCGCAGTTGGCCCCACCGGCCACCGCCAGAATCGCCGGACCACAGCTCGTCATCAGCGGCCAACCGCTCGTCAGATCACCACCTGGTCAGTCTCCTTCCGAGCCTCCACCAGTCTTTTGACGCGAGCCAGAAGATCTGCGGTTGAGCAACCCTTGGTTTCCGCCATTAATGGCGGCTTGGAGCTCAGAAGGGACGGGTCTGAAGTCATGCGGTCCCCTCCAAAGACTAACGTCCATCGCCGCCGCCGCTCCGCCATAGCCACCATCCCCGCCGTCAGTAAATGTCCGGCACGTACTGTTGACCTTTCGTTGGCGGGTGAATATTGCATCTGCCATACGATACTCTGTATCTGCTTTCCTTGGTGGCCAGCGGTCCACGTCCGTGGAGACAAAAGCAGTCAGGGGACGACCTGCACTACCCGGCCTTGGTGGGGTGTTCATCTGCCTCCCCAAAGGATGCTCTTTACTTGGATGGAGGCTGACCACGTAGCCAAACTCTGGGAGTTAACAGTAAGGGCGAGTGGAGCACCGTGTTTTATTGGGAAAAGTCAACCATCTTGCTTGATTTGTGGGAGCTGCTACGAAGTGCTTCGTACATTTCAAGCGAGCCACTAACTTGAAAGCTAAGTACTTTTCCTTATGCTTTTTATTAGTTAAAATGCTCCGTATTTCTACTAGTATTGTTGAAGTATTTTTATCACCATTATTTATTAGGGATTAAAAGCTCCCAAAATTAAATAATGTCGAGCGACGCTCTTGTGATAATTAGTTATTACCGTCATTCAAATCTAATGACTGGTTGTTGTGGGCCCGTCAGCCCGCTCCGGATCGGATCTAATTAACGAACGGAGTATACCTGAATGGCCTTTGATAGAATAATATCATTGCTATTACCTGTAATATCACTATTATTTATTAGGGATAAAGTGTTCCGAATTAAATAATGTGGAGCGAGGCTCTAGTGATGGTTGGTTCAGCCAACATTTTATTGAATATTTAATTTCTTGTGGGCCTGTTGGCCCACTCTCGGTCGGCTTGATTAAGCGATCCGAGCGTATCCAGTAGGGCGATGCCTCGACGATGCATTTTAATTTGGGTGTTACGCATTAGTCCGCACGGCATCAAGTGCCCGAGCGACGATCGTACGCTAGTACCACTTGTGCCACTAGGCGAAGTGACTGTGCCAAACACGGCCTGTGGGGCCCGAAGGCACCAAAGCGCTCAACCTTCTTTTTCCGAGGGCAGTGCGACTAACTTGGGTCTGAGTTGAAAACTCACGGACCGATGCATATTTCTATGTGAAGCTCGGTGGGCCGCTGATTGGCCCCGCCGCGAGCTGCTACGTCCATTAACCCCGCACGTTGAGCCGGGCCGAGGGTCACTGTAACCCATAGGCCGGTAATCGTGGGTGTTAGAGAGAAGGCCATGCAGATGGTTGTGTGTGTATACATATTGTCGGGCCGTGCGGCCCGTTACCATACTTATTGCGCAGCTGAAGCCACTCGACGCGCTCGAGCAAAATGATTAAAAGACGCTCGGCCCGAGTCTTGAAGACGTTCAGGGCCAGCTAAAGAGGAGACCATCACGGCTGAGGACCGTGAGACGAACATCTCCACCTAGAGGCTGAGGGCCTAGAGGAGACCACCACGGTTGAGAACCGTGGGATGAGCATCTCCACCCCAGAGACCGATGGCCTAGGAAGAACACCTAGAGGCCGAGGGTCTAGAGGGAACTGTCACGGCGAAGAACCGTGAGACGATCATCCATCATTCAGAGGCCGAAGGCCTAGAGGAGACCATCGCGGCCGAGGGCCAACTGACACAATCATATCACGACCGGCCTCTCGGCACGGCGTGATTATCATCTTCTGAAGACCGGTATCATCCCCGCGCTGCGCGGATGAGAGCCATTGCATGGGTACACTTGATCGGCCTCTCATTGCCGACATCATTATATCACGACCGGCCTCTCGGCACGGCGTGTTTATCTTTTGAAGACCGGCCTCGTCCCCGCGCTGCGCGGATGAGGACCGTTGCTTGATTTTAGGTCGGCCTCTCATTGCCGACATCATTATATCACGACCGGCCTCTCGGCACGGCGTGTTTATCTTTTGAAGACCGGCCTCGTCCCCGCGCTGCGCGAATGAGGACCGTTGCTTGATTTTAGGTCGGCCTCTCATTGCCGACATCATTATATCACGACCGGCCTCTCGGCACGGCGTGTTTATCTTTTGAAGACCGGCCTCGTCCCCGCGCTGCGCGGATGAGGACCGTTGCTTGATTTTAGGTCGGCCTCTCATTGCCGACATCATTATATCACGACCGGCCTCTCGACACGGCGTGATTATCTTATTCGAAGACCGGCCTCGTCCCCGCCACCTCGCGGACGAGGGCCGTTGCTTGACCATATCTTGATCGGCATCTCATGGCCGACACTATCATACCACGACCGGCCCCTCGGCTCGGCGTGTTCATCTTTTGAAGACCGGCCTCGTCCCCGCCACATCGCGGACGAGGACCGTTGTTTGATTCTTTCAGGTCGGCCTCTCACTGCCGACACTATCATGTTATGTTCGGCCTCTCGGCACGACATATTATCTTTTGAAGACCGGTTTCATCCCCGCGCTGCGTGGATGAGAGCCGTTGCGTGGATATATCGGCCTGATCGGACACTATTGTCATCTCCTTATCAGGACCGACTGCTCAGCGGCATTATGATCATTGTTTGTCGGCTCCCAATGCCGACCCTCTTGAGTTTGTGATCGGGCTCACGACTCCCCTCCAGGAGGGTGGCCAGGGCCTTCGCATGACGATCAGCTATTCTATCGCCTCGTCATTATATTCGTTCGCTATCGCACCACCATTATGTGTGACAACCTGTTCATCCTTGCGATGTCGGCGGACACCGAACGTCTCCTCGAAGTAGGGACGCCGGTGGGACCAGGGACCAAGGACGAACGAAGCACCAGGGAATCTCGATGCAGATAAACCTGTTCCTCATTGAGATGTCGGCGGATACCGGACGTCTCCTCGAAGTAGGAACGCCGGTAGGACCAGGGACCAATGACGAACGAAGAATATAGATTGCCTCCCTCAAACAAAAAAAAAAAAAAAAAAAAAAAAAAAAAAAAAAAAAAAAACAAAAAAAAACAAAAAAAAAAAAAAAGATGGGGAGAAGAGGAGGGTAGCTCCTATGTGGAAGGGAATCTTGCCCGGGCGTGCCAGATCTTCTCCCACCGCCGAAGACGAACGCCCCTCGATGTAGAGGTTAGTAGAGACGCGGAGGGGGCTAGACGAACCAAGGGAGCCTTGCCAAGATAAACCTGTTTATCCCACAAATGACCATGGATCGATGGACGTGGGATAACAAAGACGGGAACCCGTGAGGGTAGACCAGTTCGTCCCTGCGAGTCCTTGGGTATCGAACGTCCTCTTCGAAGCAAGAGACGTCGGTAAGGCTAAAAGGACCACGGACGAACGAAAAAAGGGGGGAATCTCGATGTAGATAAACCTGTTCCTCCTTGCGATGTCGGCGGACACCGAACGTCTCCTCGAAGTAGGGACGCCGGTGGGACCAGGGACCAAGGACGAACGAAGACTAAAAGACTCCAAAAAAAAAAAAAAAAAAAAAAAAAAAGAAAGAAAGATGCCAGAAGAGCACGGAGCAAAGAATGATTTTATCCCTCGGCGCTATTGGCCGGGAAGTACAAACTGAAAAACATATGTAAAGAATAATTACAAGACTTAAGTACGAAGAATGAAGTGGCCGACGACGATCGGCTAACATCAGGTTTTCTTTTGCCTCGAACGACGATTAGCTCCCCAGATCAGGTAGAAGGGACATCGCCCAGATTTATTTCAGGCTCACCATTCCTTCCCGGATGGAGTCCTGGCAGACGATCGGCTTCTCACAGCCAATCAGGAGAGAGACTTGACACATCACCAGCACGGCCGAGGGCCGTGAGACGATTACCACTCACCGACAGGCCGAGGGCCATGAGATGATCATCACTATTTTTCTGTATCACGATCGGCCCCCTCAGCGCCATCGTGTCCAGATTCACGGTTCGGCTCGCCCATTCCCTCCAGGATGGCGACGACCGTCTTATGCAGTACGATCGGCCCCTCAGCGCCATCGTACCCAGCTCACGTTCAGCTCGTCCATCCCTTCCAGGATGGCGACGAACGTCTTATGCATCACGATCGGCCCCTCAGCGCCATCGTGTCCAGATTCACGGTTCGGCTCGCCCATTCCCTCCAGGATGGCGACGACCGTCTTATGCAGTACGATCGGCCCCTCAGCGCCATCGTACCCAGCTCACGTTCAGCTCGTCCATCCCTTCCAGGATGGCGACGAACGTCTTATGCATCACGATCGGCCCCTCAGCGCCATCGTGTCCAGATTCACGGTTCGGCTCGCCCATTCCCTCCAGGATGGCGACGACCGTCTTATGCAGTACGATCGGCCCCTCAGCGCCATCGTACCCAGCTCACGTTCAGCTCGTCCATCCCTTCCAGGATGGCGACGAACGTCTTATGCATCACGATCGGCCCCTCAGCGCCATCGTGTCCAGATTCACGGTTCGGCTCGCCCATTCCCTCCAGGATGGCGACGACCGTCTTATGCAGTACGATCGGCCCCTCAGCGCCATCGTACCCAGCTCACGTTCAGCTCGTCCATCCCTTCCAGGATGGCGACGAACGTCTTATGCATCACGATCGGCCCCTCAGCGCCATCGTGTCCAGATTCACGGTTCGGCTCGCCCATTCCCTCCAGGATGGCGACGACCGTCTTATGCAGTACGATCGGCCCCTCAGCGCCATCGTACCCAGCTCACGTTCAGCTCGTCCATCCCTTCCAGGGTGGCGACGAACGTCTTATGCATCACGATCGGTCCCTCAGCGCCATCGTGTCCAGACTCACAGTTCGTCTTGCCCATTCCCTCCAGGATGGCGACGAACGTCTTATGCAGTACGATCGGCCCCTCAGCGCCATCGTACCTGGCTCACGGTTCGGCTCGCCCATTTCCCTCCAGGATGGCGACGACCGTCTTGTGCAGCACGATCGTCTTCTCAGCGCCATCGTGTCTCTTTCACGTTCGGATCGCCCCATTCCCTCCAGGATGGCGACGAACGTCTTATGCAGTGCGATCGGCCCCTCAACGCCATCGTACCTGGCTTCACGGTTCGGCTCGCCCATTCCCTCCAGGATGGCGACGACCGTCTTGTGCAGCACGATCGGCTTCTCAGCGCCATCGTGTCTCTTTCACGTTCGGATCGCCCCATTCCCTCCAGGATGGCGACGAACGTCTTATGCAGTGCGATCGGCCCCTCAGCGCCATCGTACCTGGCTTCACGGTTCGGCTCGCCCATTCCCTCCAGGATGGCGACGACCGTCTTGTGCAGCACGATCGGCTTCTCAGCGCCATCGTGTCTCACGTTCGGATCGCCCCATTCCCTCCAGGATGGCGACGGACGTCTTATGCAGTGCGATCGGCCCCTCAGCGCCATCGTACCTGGCTTCACGGTTCGGCTCGTCCATCCCTTCCAGGATGGCGACGAACGTCTTATGCATCACGATCGGCCCCTCAGCGCCATCGTGTCCAGATTCACGGTTCGGCTCGCCCATTCCCTCCAGGATGGCGACGACCGTCTTATGCAGTACGATCGGCCCCTCAGCGCCATCGTACCCAGCTCACGTTCAGCTCGTCCATCCCTTCCAGGGTGGCGACGAACGTCTCTTATGCAGCACGATCAGCGCCCCAGCGCCACCGTGTCTGGCTCACGTTAGGGTCGCCCATCCCTTTCAGGATGGCGACGAACGTCTCTTATGCAGCACGATCAGCGCTTCAGCACCATCGTGTCTGGCTCACGTTAGGGTCGCCCATCCCTTTCAGGATGGCGACGAACGTCTCTTATGCAGCACGATCAGCGCTTCAGCACCATCGTGTCTGGCTCACGTTAGGGTCGCCCATCCCTTTCAGGATGGCGACGAACGTGTCTTATGCAGCACGATCAGCGCCCCAGCGCCATCGTGTCTGGCTCACGTTAGGGTCGCCCATCCCCTTTCAGGATGGCGACGAACGTCTCTTATGCAGCACGATCAGCGCCCCAGCGCCACCGTGTCTGGCTCACGTTAGGGTCGCCCATCCCTTTCAGGATGGCGACGAACGTCTCTTATGCAGCACGATCAGCGCTTCAGCACCATCGTGTCTGGCTCACGTTAGGGTCGCCCATCCCTTTCAGGATGGCGACGAACGTGTCTTATGCAGCACGATCAGCGCCCCAGCGCCATCGTGTCTGGCTCACGTTAGGGTCGCCCATCCCCTTTCAGGATGGCGACGAACGTCTCTTATGCAGCACGTCTGCCTCTCGGCGCTGACATGCCCGGTTTATCGATGAGAGCTACCGCTCCTATCACATCTTGTATTCTCTCTCTCATACATTGCACCCATACATTACATGCATTCATGCATCATACCTCATACATTCATACATACACACGTGCATCATGTTTTGACAGTACCGCGACGTCGGTTTATAGATGCATGGACCTCTAAGCTTCTCCGTTGGAAAGCTCGAGTCAGAGTCCTTTACTCTCGCCTGATGCATTCAGGGGGAGCGTGCCCGTGGAGGAGCACCCTTCGCCCAACCCCGTTGGGAACGGGGGTGCCTCACTGGCAGATTACGTTCAGGAGTGTGGACATCCACTCGTATATTATGATTATTCGAAGACACAGTTTCCAGCAAGACAGAGGAAGAGCGCAGGCAAGAGTATACTTTCTCGAGCAGATTCGCACGCTCACTACTCAAGAAACTGGGGGACTTGTGTTGGGATATATTATCTCGGCCTATTACTGTTCAGGAGCCCAAGACATTATCCAGTACGGAGCCCGAGCAGCTAGGTCCATTTCGGCCCATTCTGGCCCGCTTTGGCCATTAGGCCCGACATCGGCCCGTTTGGCCCATTAGGGTGGAGAGCCCCTTCTCCCCTTCCCCTATTTATAGGAGGTTTTCCCTCCATGTAAAGGATCTTTCCTTCTTCCTTCTTCCTTTAGAATAGTTTTGCAAGATTCCATTAATGGAGCTCAAATTGTACTATGTAATGGTGAGGAGAGTCTAATGAGAATGAGAGGGCTTGGACATTAGCCTAAAAAGTCCCGTGGTTTTCTCCCTTTCGGGTTTCCACGTAAAAACTGAGTGTTCATACATATATTTATTATATCGTGTTGGATTAAACTCAACATTTAGCATACATGTTTAAATAACATATGCAAACACTTGGAAAAAATCAAGGGGGAATACTTTAACCAAAGATCATAACTATTCAAGATTTTAAGTATCTGAGACTAGTTATTACAACATAGTTTCACTTAACCAACAAGGATATATTATGAACACACAAAGTCCATTATTAACAACCCTAACAAAAGTAAATAAGCACACAAAGCCCACAAACAGTAGAAGTTAAAGCTGCTAGCTAGTCTACGACAAAAATATGAGCGCCAAAAGACACAACCAGACACAACCTGCCAGGTTGCGACAAACAAATGGGAACTCATTGACTTCTTCCAACTACAAAAGGTATGAGTACCCTCTTTAATGCTTTGTATTAATGAATCAAACATTTCAGTGTATACTTTATACAGTTGTTTTTTTGGCAATAGTTTATTCATATACAAAAGAGTATATGAACCTTTCATATAATGAAAGCAACTGTTAAAAAACTTCAGTTCATTTAATACTTCAGTTTGTGTTAGTTTATGTTAAAATGAACTAGTTTATACAGACTTCATAGTCCATTAAAAGTAATGGTTAGTCTAGGGAAAATGACGGAAGAAAAAAACATAAATAAAAGAAGAGAACCCAAATAGTATTTTGGATGGATGAAACAACTAACATATTGTTTTTAGTCCTAAGAAGTGTATATTGCAGTACTCTTCAAAGTCCTAAGAAGTTCATAGTCAGGGACTACTAATTAATTTTGATGCAGGCATTACATACAACCACGAATACTCTTGACGCTAAGATCTTGCTTGATGAGGTCTAAAATGGAAAAAGTGCTCTAGTTGTGGCTGAATTGTCGCAATTTGTTGTACTATCCAAATTATCTAATTCAATTATGATTCCTTAATAAATTAAAGTCATAAAAAAGAAGGTTGAAGTGTCATCTTTATTAGATTCAGACTTTCAGTCATTCCAACAAAACTAAAGTACTACATACGTTTTTTGTTAATTGATGTCATTCTAACGAAAGAAAAGCAATTTCTTCACTGCTATTTTTTTGTCCCTGATACGCCAAAAAATTCTGAAAAATTGCAGTAGTGAATAAATATCAAAGTGAAGATGGTTACAGTACTGAAAAATATATGCTATAAAAGTATTTAGTATATTGCAGTGTATTTAGTGAATAAATATCAAATATATCAAAGTCTATTAAGTGTATTGCAGTGTATAGAAGATAGTTTCACATTCATCTAAAGCAAGTGCTACGAACTCTATTTCAATCTCTTCGATAGAAGATCACCCGTTTCACATTCATCAACAAGGTTTTTTTTTTTTAAAATAAGCCCAATAGGAATACCCAGCAGGCTCTTATATTGATATCAGAACAAGTTCTAAATCTGGTTCTTTTTTTTAACATAGTCCCCCATAAAAAACCTACCCAATAAAGTTAGGAAGTGTGGAGAGTATGACCATATTCAAGCTCCAGTGGAATTTCATATCAATCTCAAACTTCAGACCAAAAACAAAACAAAACAAAATAAAACAAATAGCAATAACAAGAGAAAAATATCCAACACTGATTTCAGACAGATAAAAGTTGACTACTACTCTTATAAGGGAGGAACATAACATGCAGGAAAGAAAAACATAATAAAAACAGAATCTGGGAGCATTATTGGAAGGATTATTGGAAGGATTTCATTATTAGATGGTAAATTTGAAGGATTACTAAGGGAGGAGGTACATACCTAAAATCGACCGTGAGATGCGAGGACCAACCGGCCGTGAGATGCTAGGACCAATCGGCCTGGCCTTATTCCTTGCGCGCAGATGGCCGGAGAAACTATGGAGCTAAGGCGCGAGGACCAATCGATGGAGAAACTAACCGGTGATGGTCGGAGAATCGTGCGCGCAGATAGGGTTAAACGGGAGAGCTAGCTTAGGCCATCGATGATTCTGGAAGCAAGTCTGGAACGGGTGAGCTGATGTATGGCGCTAAGTGTATGGATATGTGGTACGTATAGTAGTTGGGCCGAGCGGCCCATCGATGCCGGCCTGGCCTTATTCCTTCCGTAAAAAATGTTTAGTGTCACTATTTGAGTCTGATGTATTTGTGTTAGTAAATAGTGACACTTTTGTGTTATTATGGCTTTTAAATCAGAAAGCGTCACTACAAAAGCGTCACTGTAAGCCAGTTTTCTACTAGTGCGGGCCGGTCCGGTTCCGGGCCGGGCGGCCCAACCCGTGTCCACCCCTATATGTAAATAGCTTATTCACAGACAATCATGTTTGTTTGTGAATAGACTATTTACAGACAAAAAATAGTTTCTCACAAATGTGTGTAACATAATATGTACAAAAAGTGTGTACGAATAGTTTTTTTCTTAAAACAAAAGTTGTAATTTATTTCAAAAGAGCATTGCACTTTAAATTAAGTTGTAAATATGTAGTATGTTTTTAGTCTCTCCAAATATAGTGTTTGTTCATTTATATTTTTTTCATTCATGCACCTTATATAATTTTTTTTCCTTAATCCTTCACCGATCATATTAATGGCCATTTGGCAATAAATAACCTTAAATGATTCTTTCACATGTCATTCAAAAATACTCACTTATGCTTTCTAAAGTGTCATTAACTTTTATTTTAAAAACGTGAATGATTAGTTTTAGAGCCTTAGCTCCAATATAATATTAGCATTTAAAATGTTTTAAAATTAGCATTAAAAAGTTTTTATTACAAATATGCAACTGTCATTTTTTTCTTTCTAAATGGGGATGGTCTCAAAGTTAAAAGGGAGTATAAGGAAAATGTGACATATTTCATAGAGATCTAAAATAAAATCTGTCCTATTTGGAGAGACTAAAAAGATCTTTAAAGCTAAGCGTAATTGTGAATACTTATCACAATAAAAACATTAGGAAAGATATTGCCAAATTCATTTAGTGTTCCGTTGGTAATCTTTATTTTCACAAAAATCGGTTAAATGTTACATCAAACAAACAATTTTAGATTTCGTGCGTTATGTTAAAATAAAGAAGATTGGAGTTAGTTTTCAAATTCAATCAATGAACATAACTTTAGTATTATCAAACAGACTCTTAATATCTTTGTTTAATTTTAGATTCATTCGTGGAATCTTTTTTTTAAATGCTAGCCGCGCCATTTTATTGTTTTTAACATTTATTCCGAATTTAGATAAAGGTTATATAGTTGTTGGCACAAATAACTTGTTCACAAACGGCCTCTATAAACAGACAACCAAAAAATATACCTAATACGGAGTACAACTTATGTACTCCCTCTGTTCTTTAATAAAAGTCCTTCTTTCCTTTTTGGGACGTTTTTTTTATCTGTCCTCCTTTCCATTTAAGGAAACTTTTTACTCTAAATATACCTTTATACCCCCACTTTTATTACCATTACCCCTTTCTCTTTCCTACTTTTTCATTTATCCACTACTCATTACACCTTTTTACACTACCCCTACTATTTTCCTCTTAAAACCCGTGCCAAAGCCTAAGAGGACTTATATTAAAGAACGGAGGGAGTATATGATTATATGAGTGTATAAGGATGTTTTTACTTGGACTGTAATTTGCTGATAAAAACATCTCAAAGACATTTTTTTTTGTTTAAAAAAAGACTATTTGGACGAACAAGAACCACGAGTCAAACACGCACTAAAAGTCTAAAATTCCAAAGCCTATCATTCTTTCCTCGAGTAAAGGGTCAGTTTGGTCCTCGAAGTTGCAAAAAAGGGGTCAAATAAGTCATTATATAGAAGATTCTGTCCGGACGTGCCATTTGAGGTGGCTCCCGGTGGTTTTTTTTGATACATTTTTTTGAGCATCTTATTCATTAAATCTAGTTTACTCATACCAAATTTAAGCTAAAAATTCAATCCGGAAGACATTCAAATGAATTCTTGAAGATAACTGCGCTTATAACGGCACAGTTATCTTCAAGAAATCATTTAAATGTCTTCCCGATTAATTTTTATCTGAAATTTGGTATGAGTGAACTAGACTTAATGAATAAGATGGTCAAAAAAATTTATCAAAAAATTCCACCGGAAGCCACCTCAAATGGCACGTCCGGACAAAATCTTCTTTATAAGGACTTATTTGACCACTTTTTTGCAATTTCTAGGACCAAAGTGACTCTTATCCCTTCTTTCCTCACAAGTCCAGTTGCAGTTGTTCTACTAAGTGGGCCCAGTATCTTCGTGGAATACACAACGGCCGTATTTGTTTTCAACGTCACCCCTTACGCATTTTGGCTGGAATCTTTGCGTTGACCCCAGCATATGCGAATATAAAAACACATCAATTAATTAAAGTACAAATAAGAAACACGGCATTGGTCGGTCAATTTGTAAGAGAAGAACAGACAATTCATTATGAAAATTGGTCTGTCACACACAATTCATTATGAGTTGTCTGTGACAGACAAATTTTCTCCGAAAGACAAACATGTGTACACATTTTGTGTACATATTTTGTGTACCCCAAGCAAAATCCTATAATTATAATGCGCCGGCTTCATCATAAAAACTTTTAGACAAAAATAGAGAACAAAGAGTATATAGAGTTCCCTATTTCATACTGAGTTTTGTGAACCACCTCATTTTGTACCCCACCCTATATTTGTGGCTCACAAAAGCCCACTTCGATAAACTAATTGCTTCATTTTGATTAGCTACTTTTGTGAGCCACAATAATAGGGTGCGGTATAAATTGAGGTACAAAATAGGGTGACTTTAGCATTAATGATTTCATACTACATCTATCTCACAAAACTTGGCCAAAATTGGCTTGCACGTAGATTAATAAAGTAAAAATTGTGTGATTGAAATTTGTGCAGTGGAGGGAGAAATAGTTTTAGCCACATTTTCTTACTTTGAATGAATATGGTGAATTTTTTTGGGACGACCAAAAGAGAAAATTTGACCAAGTTTTATGAGATAGAGGGATTATAATTTATGATTTTGAAAATCATACGACAATAAAAGCTTAATCTTGCATGGAGATAATTAATTTGGTTTTAATATTTTTGTATGAGTATAATTTAGAGATTTTGAACAATTTATGGACATGCTTAATCACCCCATCATGGCAACATGTTTCTAGCTTCTCGGAGCTTCTTTAATTTTCCACCATAAATCCTCATCAATCACTGCCTTTTGCCAATTTCTAAGCTTCTCAAAGCCTCTTTCCTAACCATAAATGCTATTGACACATATCTTATCTCTAAGCTTGCCAATGCTCCTTTGCTCATAAATCTTCATTGGGATCACAGGCCAGCAAAGGAAAGTTGATAATTTTTAATTTATAGATTTGATTTATGTAAGGACATTTTTGTAGTTTGATAAAATTTTACAAAAAATCACTTTTTAACAAATATTCCAACTTTTATTTATAAAATTAAACCATTTTTATTTTAAAACTTTGTCAACTTATACTCCTTTCCGATGTATCAAAAAAATTATCAACTTATACTAATAAGCACTTTTTCAAGGAAGCGGTCCTTCTCAACTGTTCGTCAGTTCACTCTCCCATACGGGAGGTCTCGAGTTCGAAACTCCATGGAAAGAGTTTTAGCCATGTTTATCCCAGACTATCTCACAGCTCCCCCGATCCCCTAGGGTAAAAAAAAGTAAAAAAAAAACTAATAAGCGTTTTTTCTAAAATTACTTTATAAAATCAAAATTTTAAAATAGAAACATACGCAAACACTCAGTTAATTTTATTTTTTTTAAATTAAAACTTTTTCATGCCGGTTTCACGTTTGTTAGCATGCCAAACATATTGTTGTCCGTGCATGAACCATTGATTTCAATCTTAGTAGAGGGAATTGTCTCAGACTCCAGATGGTCTGTGCACAAATATTCACTCTTTCGGGTGTGTAAACCGTCGTGGACAAGTACCATTTTATTAAGAATTATTGAGGGTATGATAGGAAGATTTAGAAATGAGAAGATTTTTGTGTTACGGACGAAAAAGGAAAGTGGGAAGATTTTTAAGTTACGGAGGAGTAATTTAAAGCGTGTAAGTCACCTTTATTTTTGTAATTCAAAACATTTTCAATATTAAACTAATTTTTGTAATTTAAATGCACGTTTCCAAAAAAGTAAGGAAATAGACAGAAAGCGAAGTGGACCCCTAACCTGGAAAATGCAAGTATTCAATGAATGGCTCACAGCTCACGAGTCACGGCCTTAATTGGGAGGAACCAAATATCCAGGAGGTCACGGGATGTCCGCCTATAAATACGACCCTAACCCTCCTACTTTTTCTATCACCATTTCAGATCCTTAACTTGCTCTGTTCCGAGCGAAACGACAAAACATTCCCTACATTTTCATCAGAATCCGATACGAATACGATGTGCCCGACGGGAACGGTCACCGCCTTTCGCGGCGAAAGCTCGAAGCCGTCGACTCTACGGTCGGCGTTCGAGGTGCTGGACATGGACCGCGACGGCAAGATCAGCCACGACGACCTCCTCACGTTCTACGCCGACTTCTCCGCCATCCGTCCGACGGGGGAGGACGATCTGGTCGGGACAATGATGTCCGTTGCTGATTTGAACCAGGACGGGTTCGTGGAGTACGAGGAATTCGAGAAGGTCGTGGTCGGTTCCGGGAACGGCCGGGCGATGAAGAATGACGTCATGGAGGATGTGTTCAGAGCGATGGATAGGGACGGGGACGGTATTGTTGGGCTGCAAGACCTCGAGAGTTACCTGAAATGGGCCGGCCTGCCTGCTGATGATGAAGATCTCAGGGCCATGATCAAATTGGGCGGTGGTGATGATAGTAATGGTAGTGGTGGTGTAACCTTCCAAGGTTTTTGCAACATTTTGTCTCTCTGATTTGTGAAGCCAATATTGAATAAAGTTGTAGATTTTTTTGAATATTTTAGTATAGCTTTGAGCCTGAGTTGGTCCCTCTTTCATCATGTTTTTCTTTAAGGAGAATTTGACTTTGATCCCATATTTTAGGTGATATTGGACTTTGATCCCATTTGTGTTGCAAATTCAAATGATTTTATAGTGTTTTGAGGTGCATAGTCCTTCACAATTTGAGTTTGCAACACTTTTCATCATATTACCATAAACCAACTTCTTCCGTCTTGTACAAACGTTCTCACTCAATTTACAATGTTTTGATTGGACTTTTTCCGATATCTGTTTGTAATTGGACTTTTTTAGTAAGGCTATGTTTGGGAAGCCATTCAGCTCATTTTGAGCTGAAATATTTACAATTCAGTCATTTTTTTTTAAAGTAATGATGTTTGGCAAAAGGGCTTATATGAGCTGGCTCTTGAATAATAGAGCTGAATTGGAACGTTTCCCTCACTAGCGTTGTTGATCAGCCTGTTGTTTTATTTACTCCCGTTCCCAGATTAGCCTCTCGCTCATGTCTTTCTTTTCTCCGCCGATTATATCATCTCGTTCTCCTATATCACCTGTCTTTGTCGTCTCTGTTTAAGTTCACTCTTGGTCAAGGACAAATAATTAAAAAAAAATGGGATCACGGCTATAAATTTATAACAATGAAAGCAGCATTTTCATCCTATGGAGACTCTGGTTTCCCCTACTATTTTGAAATGTCATTCTTGTTTGAAAAGTTGTCTCAATGATAATCATCCAGAATCTTTCCAATCCATGAATTTAATCCATGAATACGATTAAAAAGCTCTTGTAACTCTCATAAATATATATTAAAATTTCAATGTTTATTGATTTTTTATCATTATAATAAATATTTTGTTCTATTAATAAATAATACTCCCCCGTCCCTAATAAAACTTCCAAATAGGTTTGGTGGTGGAGAGTTATGCAGAGGAGAGACAAATGTGTAAGAATTGTTGTGAACCACAAATTCTTTGTTAAAAAGGGAAAGTGGAAGTTTTAATTGGGACGGACGAAAAAGGAAAGTTGAAAGTTTATTTAGGGACGGAGAGAGTATGCCCTTTAATGTAATTTCACATTATCCGGGAACGTTTCCAGTTCTTTTTTCCAAACGGATATATTTCATTCAGCTAGCAATTCAGTTTCAGCACTTCAAAGTTTAGCTTCAGACAATAGTCTCTAATTCAGACATTAGCCTCCAGTTTCAGGTCGTTGTGCCAAACATAGCCTAAATAAATTTACACATTCAGAAATTAGATTAAAGTTTTATAAAGTCGTAAAAAACTCAAATTTTCAAGGGGAAATCACACATTTCGTCTCCCAATTATCCACCATATTGAAATTCCAGACCCGTGTTTCAGGTTTTTTAAATGTCACCCCCAATTTGTCAAAATAATTATAAATGCCACCCCTACCGTTATAAATATTACAAACGACGTCCGTCTTTCCAAATTTTCTGGGTTAAACTTGTAACTTTGCATCCTTTTCAATTAAAGTCCTAAATTTGAGTTACCCCTGACCCTTTATCACACTTGTCATTCCAAATTCAAATGCTTTGCTTAATCCTTTACTCTGAATTTTTTTCCACCAAGTTTCCGTTGCATATACGTGTTCGAAAAGTGAAGGTATATTGAAGCCAAGATTCTCCTTTGAAGGTCGAAGTTGTGACAGAGGAAAGGAAGTTGACCAGTCGAAGACTCAATGGGTTAAACGGCCATTTTTTTCCTGGAATAATGCTAGCTAAATAAATAATTTCCAAAATATTGTTGAGTTAAAAATAATTCCCAACATACTGCGGTAATTTTTAAAGAGTTACATTACTTTTTGAGTTTATATATTCAATATTGGTGTCATATGAAAGATAATAAAAAGTTATGAATTTTGGTATACTTTTTGTAACAATCAGAATACAAATAAAAAAGTTATACACTTCAAAGAAAATAAGAGATTTTAAATTTTGATGAGACCCATTAATTTTGGCTTTGGCATTACATGTACTCCATACGTTACTTGCGTGGGCTGCCAATTTTGTTAGAAAGCCGCCAAGTGGCAGCCGGCAAGTCAAAAGCCGTCATTTCAATTGACGGTTTTCCTTAACCACGGTTAATCCAACAGTATTTTGAGAATTATTTTTATCCCAGCAGTATTTTGGGAAAACCGTTTAAAGGCTTCTTTAGTCTTGTATGGGAAAACCTTAACCACGGTTAATCCAATAGTATTTTGGAAATTATCTTTGTAAAACAGTGGACTAGAACCTTAATGTGAAATGTAGTAGTATTTACTACTCCGCATTTTAGTTCAACAAGTAGCAGTGTTTTTCTCTTCTTCGTGTTAATGTTTGAGTTTTTTTTTTTTTTTTTTTTTTTTAGAATGTTTGAGTTAGTTATCACTTATGTGAAATGTAGTAGTATTTATTACTCCGCATTTTAGTTCAACAAGTAGCAGTGTTTTTCTCTTCTTCGTGTTAATGTTTGAGTTAGTTATCACTTATAAGTTATAACCTCATGGTGTTGGTGGAGAAATATTTTGTTCGGCTCGAATATTAGTGGAGACGTGTTACTAGTTAGAGAATCATTTCTTATGCGGACTCTTGAGAGCTTAATATTAACCCGGCGAAGCAATAACAAAAACATGGTGGTAACAAAAATATTAGACGAATTTATTGAATTTGCTGAAATTATGAAAGTTATTACTAGTATATTTTTCAACTATTTAATTGATTTAAATTAGCTTAATTTGGTGAATTTACTTAAATTACTAAAGTTATAGTTTTTTTTTTATCATCAAAACAGACCTCTATTCATATCAAAAGATTCGAGATCATTACATCAAGCAATGAGAAAATAAAACTGGAAACTCCAACAACTACGACTGTAACCTTATGATGAGACTTTGAGGCGGTCACCCCTGAAAGAGCAACAAAAGTTATAGTTTACACAACTGAATCCGACTAAAATAAAATATTGAAATATATGAAAAACAAAAGTATATTGACTAAAGAAAATTCCAAAAGTTGTATTCAACAAATTCATCAATACAAAATATTTGTTGTGGACTACAAATAATAGTAGTCTTCAAATACTAGACTACAACAAGTATTTCTAAGGTTACTCTTTTCATTATTTATCATATCAAACGTGGCAAGTCAAATAGAGCAAATATATGAAGTATATTCCATGGTGAAGATGTAAACATGCTCCATAAATATTTGGCAAAAAAATTGCATAACAAAGAAGTAAAGTTTAAATACTTATTTTGTACCTTATAACTCTTTGCAGTTGTTTTTGGCTTATTGTTTCAGATATGAAAAATAGCCTATATATGAGTAAAACTCATGCCAATTCCCAAAATATAACCATAGATGATTCTTTCTCAATATATATGAATTTTCTCTTTAAGATAATGGAAGTGTGGCTGTAATTTATTTAGTCAGGATAAAAATCATATGGGTTGCATTTGGAACAAACGAACACTGAGCGTAAAAACTCATTGATGATGATTGATGAAAGGAAATAAGGAATACGGAGTAATTCATAATACGCGAAAATAAAATTGAAAAAGTAGGGAAAACAGGGAATAAAATAGTACGGAGCACGTGTTTTTAATCTCTTGAAATGATGGCACTTCCAAAAACTAAAAGTTAGATCGAATAACGATGACCTTGAAATAAAACGAGTGGAAGTGAATAGAGGTAGTTCATAGCTGTATAATTGTTTTTTGTGAAAATGAACTTGCAATCTAGATTTATCCCTGTTGTGGTTGAATAGTTTACAGAACCTCTCTATTCCGAGTATGTGTTTCCAGTATACCCCAGTACCCCACTAAGTACTAACTACAAATTACAGAACCCTTGACAAAACAACAATACAACTAAAGTTTCTCGTTAGGTTCCTCGAAGCTGGCTCTGCCTATTCTTGCTTCAACCAGCCAGTAGGCCGTAAGTTACATTTGACAGTACAAAGATGGGCACTACATGCTCTAGAATGGTTCAAACAATATCCATCTGCCCATTTTCAACAAGTGGCTTAATCGACTTGTACGGCAAGGCGTATAAATCGTCAGCTTCAATGCTCACCGGCTCCTCAACGCTGACCAAAAGTAGAGGTGAAGGGTCAGAAAATGACGCACCACTAGATGAAGAGGACATATAATGAAGGCAGTGCCACACTCAATGACTCAAAGGAGAGTTGATTTTTACCTGTCATCGAGCTGAAAAGCTCCCAAATATCTCTTGCTCCTGCAAATGACATAATGGTCCAGACGTGGTTCTGTGACTAAAGACATCCAAAAATAAGAAGCCATGGTTTGTGCTGCAGTGAGTAAATGCAGGAAATGGAAAGATGCAATAAATGAATTAATTAGTCAGTTGAAAGAAAATGTTTGACTAAACTGTGATAGATGATGGGGGAGTTAAAAAATTAGAAATATCAGAACGGGAGAACCCTCAGAACCTCCACTAATACAAGATAAAATCTTTTGTCCCACTTTGCCGATCTCATTTGGGTACCAACCAGCACATTCTGTTTGGCCAATGTCTATTAGCTAATTAACAACCTGAATAAGTTTAATGTTAATTACTTTGACAGGAAAAGTGGGATAGAAGATTTCAATTCGTAGCAAACTACCAGTGTACCAAAGCATATGCACAACTAATAGTGGTATCATCAGATTGTGCCTGTGCTTGGAAAAACCTACCCATGTCATCTTGTTCACTGACAGTAGATTGTTTCAAGTGAGACTTGAAACCTTGAGGCAACTTTGAGAGAACGGATTGTTCCAAATGTTGCTGCAAATCATCTGCAGACCTGCCAGCATGGTCAAGTAGCTAAATGGTCAGTTTATTTTTTCTTTACTAGTTCAGAACGCAGTTCAACCAACATAGATTCCAAAGCATAACAAACTACCTTTGAGCAAATTTTTGTTCTTGTTTAGATAAGCAGTCCCATAATTCACTGGTTCTTAGAATGTGAAATGCGTATTTCTCAATCTGTGATTGATATTTATGAGTGAGGAGAGTAGACACAAACAGCACAAGTCAGAAAGCTAGAATTTAGATATTGCACGCAAATGACAAGTCCAGCCTAGTAAACAACAGTCCATCACTACTGTGTAAAGCCAGCTCTGTAGAACTACACAAATTGATCTAGATTGAAAATCTCAGTTGCTTAATAGTTGAGCAGCAAAATAGTTTTTCATGATGCTACCTTTTGAAGACGAGTTCTCAAATATGATCTTAACAAATACATGGTTCTGTCCACGTCCATCTGGTAAAGAGATACTGTGAGTGGATCGATGCCAGTTTTTGTGTAATCCTCCACTGTTTCCTCCTAAATAACAAAATAATGAAGCATAATTAAACCGAGATACAATTCAAATTCTATTTTGGGTATTACACAACCATTTGAATACCATTAAAAGGCATGCCATGATTATAAGTATAAATCATCAATGCATGAGACTTCTTGGACTGTTTGGCGCACCCCTACGATTGTACTGTGGCCAATCATGACCAAGAGTGCTTGGACTTTATCCACTAAATTGAACTACTAAATTCATTTATGTCCCCTGTCAAGACACAATTCACACAATTCCCTGTTGGTTCTTCAATATATGAAAGCTTTTGTCGAATGCTTAAGAATGTGAAACTCAACCTATTTACCAAATCACTAGTACAATGAATTTAATAGATTTATTTTCACCTATGTATCTTTAATACAAGGGACACCATATCCCTAATATAGATTCTCCTCTACTTAGTAAGGAGCTACAAATGGCATTTTGAGATTAAGAAGCAAAGTTGATCACAGCTAAAAGCCTAAAACAAAAGCAAGAACAAAAAAATCGTTAATCAACCTTAACCGTTGAAAAAGGAGAATTATATTTTTTCCAGAACACATTGTATAATTCAATTTTTTAAAGTAGAAGCCAGTGACCAAGGTTGCAAAGTTAGAAAGAGATTCATGTAATTATCTCAATTCTGGAATGTTAGATACTCAGTCCTTTTAAACCATCAGTACAAAATGAATGTCAAGGAGGGATTTTAATTCATCCATCTCTAATGTGAACGTAGCTTATGTAGGTTCTCTTCCATCTCTAATGGAAGAAGATGCAAATGGCCTCTTAAAGTATCAAAAGTTAATTAATTCAAACCTCGAAATAAATGAAAAAATGAATAACAAATTGATAAGCAATTTAATAAATACTCTTCAACCTTTTAACTACTGGAGATAAAGAAGGTATATGTTCTTTCTAAAACACATACTGTCTTATTCCTTGTCAATCATGTGACATTGGGGCTTATGGATATTTTTGAAAGTATGTGTTTTAGAAAGAACATGGATCTTGGTATATATTTGTCTTACATGACTATATTTCCCAAGATGCATCTGGAAAGTTTACACACATGCTTTCATGGTCCTTTTTGTTTCGAGGTGAATCTTTGTACATAGGTTTAATTTTGATTCACGTTGTTCGTTTACTACAGAGTATTTTATTACAAGAACCTTAGTTTTCAGATTTTATCTCTGAGAACCTCATGTAAGCCAGTTATGGTATCAAAGCCTCTATACTGAAACTTGATGTTAAACAAACAGTTATAGTATCAAAACCTCTACACTACATGAGTAACCATATGCAAAAGAAACAACACTCCAATACAAGTTTCTTATAACAAGCTCTCACCCATTCTTAATCTAGAATGCTAAAGAACTAGTACGAGGGTCAAACACAAAGTTGAATTAAATTATTACAAGGAATGTTTTTTATAAGTTACAAGAAAATGAGAAAGAAGTGGCGTACCATCAATTGGATCTGTTCGCGAGATCTTTGGACAAGAGCAGCCTCAAATCGAAGGATTTCGGGAGCACCCTTCTCGTTCCGCCATGCTCGCTTCAAGAGCTCTGCGTCGGTGGTCGAAACCAGGGTTTCGAAATCGTCCAAGGTACCTGACCCGCCCGCTTCACCTGAACCTGAATCCATTATCACCTCTCTTCCTTAGCTACTACCTATGTGTGCTCTTTTGGTGTTTAGCTCTATCGTGATGAAGGTAACTGTTAAATTGGCGCCAAATTGCCAAAACAGTAGGGCGTGAAAGATCATGGAGTTATTAATAGTAAAAGTTGGAAAGAGTGTTTTCAAAGCAGTTTAAAGCACCTTTCTACCTGCTTCCAGCTTTTAGCTTTTAAGTGATTAATTTAAGCAGAAGCTGTCATTTGAAAACACTCTTTTCAACTTTTTTTTAAACCAAAAGCTGAAAAGCGCTTTTTTTAAGTAAACCCAAACACTCTTTTAGTCAGTTTTGTGAAAAAATCGAGTCTCACCCTAAAAAATCTTACAATTTTGTCTATCTTTTTTTTAATTGTTTCAAATAGTATGTTATTTTTCTTTTTAATCAATCAATTAATATTTCTTAATATTTTTCTGGTATATGTACAAATATCAATTATACAATTTCATTGTCAATTTTTCATGTTAAAACCATTAATATTGGTTGACGCATTTCCCTACAACGCAAGGGTATAAATACCAGTTACTTCATAATGTACCTCACATTTTTATAAGGTTATTCCAATGTTTTTAATTGGACATGTTTCAACTTTCATACAAGACTAGATATGACCACACTTAAATAACTTTGACTAGATCAGATCAAACTACACTAGACTATACAATATCACACTAGATTGATATAATTTTTGTAGAAGTTGCCTAAAATATGAGTAAAATATAAGATGAGTGTAAAAACAGACGTTCATATTTTAATCTCTTTAAATAGGGGTACTACTACGTAATATATTGCGTGTGGATAAAATACCCTAAGGTTTCAGATTAGATAGAATTTTGGGTGGTGAGTGGCAGTTAGAGATGACAACAGTGCACAGTGGGGGGCCATTCGGTGACTTGCGGTGGCTGTCAAGTGGGAGTAGTTTTATAAGGTTGTTTTTTGTCCAATCACAAATTATACTCCTATTCATGAAATTCTGAACTTTAACTCCTATTTTTGGTATGTTTTGCTTCTACTTTAGACATTTTCTCTAATTTCAATCACATTCGAGTCTTATATAGACAAAGTTTATATTTGACTGATAGTTAATCACTGGTGAAGCTAGAGGGGGGCAAAATGGGACGGGGCACACCCCAAATTAGAATAGTTGATTGAAGCATAATAAAGTTTTATAGCTAGGACTATTATTTCTATTTTCAAAATTCAACTTATTCAATCTCAAAAGATGAAAGTAGTTTTAATTAATTGGTATAGTAGGGATAAATAAGTCATATTTTAAAAATCACTACAAAAACTACGAGATTGACATGAATTGACCGATGATTTCATGCCAAATAGCTTGTACGAAAGTGTTTGTGGCACGGATTTGGCATATATAACTATTATCTGTCAATCCATGTAAATGAATCCATGTAATGATGTAAAAAAATCTGTCAATCTCATTTTTTTTTGTAGTAAATGAATCATTCAATTAGTAGGATGTTCGCACCAGACATAGGGATGTTAACAAGCTAAGCCTGAACACTCGAGACTCGACTTCAGCTTGATGTGATAATAATGGCGTTCGGCTTTGAGCCCGAAGCTCGGAGCGCTTTAAAATGATCTTGTATTCGGCCCGATAGGTGTTCGATGTTTGAACCAAACACTCGATACCCTCGATAAAAATGCTCGAATGCAAAATTCTGGATGATGCTCATCAACAAGCTCGTGCTCAAATTATTTGTCAAGTACTCGATTCATTAATAATCATAATCTTAACCTATCTTAACCTATCTTAATAAAGGCCACTTTTATTATTAAATGCTAATTACTTCTTCATAGTTAAGCTTTAAGTTGTAGTAACATGTGCTATTTGAGTATTGGCCTTCAAATTGATCGACTTCACTGTCCACTCTCATAACTGACAGTGTTAGATTTGTTTACACACCGTCAACTCATAGGTATGTGATCTATCTATTATATGTTGTTTCGACTTTTCACTTTTGCATTTAGCGTTTAATTCCTTTTCTTGGTTTCAAAATCCATTTCCCCTGGCAGCGCACCTCATGAATCCTTCAGGCTTCAACTCCGTTCAAGAAGATGTAGAGTCTCTTATCAATTTAATTTCATTTTAGTTGGATTTTAACCTTTCTCCATAGCAAATACGTAGTATATAATCGGATTTCAACTTCCTTTATCCCCTTCTCATTATCTTTGCTCACCAATCTATTAGGTATGTTATACTACGTATTATGCTCTCGTAGTATTATTTCATCATTTTTCTTTGTGCCTGTGTATTTTGCTTAATCAGTTCAAGATTACACTTTTTATATTTCATCTTAATTCATCCTCAAATATTATTCCTCTGTTATTAAAAGTGCTGCAATGTTTGTATTCTACGTAGATGAGCTTGGAATCGTTCTTTGTGTGTTTTAATTTATAGAACCGAAATAAGCTCCCACGTTTTACTGGTTTTACTACGTCTTTTTGCTGCGTGTTTAGTATTAATTGAGACATCCAATTATGATTAAATGGTCTTCACAAGTTCATACGTAGTATGAAATGAAACTAAAAGCACACTGTGTGTTTGGTAATATGTCAAGGTTTTTTCATTGCACTTCTCTTAAAGATTGATTTTCACTTAGGCTAAGAATGGTGTGTTGTTTTCAATGACATGTTTTCAGTTTCTAAGGTAAACTAGGAAAAAGTAAAATGAGCATTAGTGAAGGGGGATAAAATAGGTAAAATGTATTAGAGGAGTATATAACAAAATGTTATACTCTCTATTGAATAAAGTCTTTTAGAGCAGGGTGCACCATTTGACAATCAAAACACGCACAAAAACATAAAACATGTGTATGCTTTATAGAAATGAGTTTAGGATTGCATTTTTAATTAATTTATTTTCCAATGACCTCGTATGCTATGTTAGCATTCTTCCCTATGCCATATCCTTTGCTTAATAAATTTAGGATTACATTTTAACATTCTTCCTTAGAGACCAAGTCTTGATGTACTAAAAGTTCTTAAAAATTTGTGCTCTCCTCATATAAACTTGACTTTGATATATTCAAAATTTGTAAAAGCACATAATACTCCAACGTTTTTTTTGCATTGTTTCTTTATTTAACTTGATTAATTCAGCAAATAGCTCGGGTCAATTTCACAAGTTCACCATGGATTATGATTTTTATGTGTTCTTTGTTGTTTTTATGATACTATTAAGACCTAGAATATGACTCAATGGTTTCCACAAGTTCATATGAAAGGAAATAGAGTTATTTCATTGCACTTGCCTTCATTTACAATTTTTAGCTAACGGTACACATCAGTCTTTCACTTCATATGTAGTTTATGGACTTTTATTATACTTTGTGCTATTTATGGCAAAAGCTAAAATGGTAGCTATAGGCCGGGTGGCCATCCCACATACGACAGTAACTATGTGTCTGTAGTTTATGGCATGAATTGAACATGTTAACTAATTTTAAACAATCAATTGAAAATGTAGAATTCATCCTACAAAACACGGGGTAAATGGAAATATACTCATGGTGATGCCAAATGAAGACAACTACAAAATTTAATATTACGGAAATTTATGTTGAGATTGGCTGGTCGAGGCAGTGACAATATTCGGACACACTTCTATGGCATGATTGTTTCAAGGTGAACATAAGTTCTTCTAGGTTGATTTTATGTCCACCTTATTTCTTTTCTATTTAGGAAAAACACCACTATTTCAATCTCATCTCTCCATGTTTACATCAGTGTGTACCAAAATTTTACGAACACACAGTTCAATCATATATTCTTCTGATCTTTCACCAAGTGGCTCTCTAGGGTTGTCAGTTACACATTGATGTTAAAGTTATCTTTGTAGACTCTAAATGGGGAGATAAAATAGTAATGAAAAATTGGCCTCTGAGAATAGAGTGCACCATTTGAAAGAGAAAAGTAAAAAACTCATTCAAATGATTATGCCTTCAGGAATGAAATGATATTAATCCCCTTTGTAGGCTTAAGTGGGGAGATAAATAGCCAAAATGAACTAGAAAAGGTATATAACAATTACTCAAAATGGTCTGAAAATTTTGCTTAAAAGAAGTACAAAAAATCAAACAAATTGAGTACAAAAAATGGTCTTTGAGAGCAACCCGCATCATATGGCAGTCAAAAGCGAAAAAAAAAAATTTAAAATGCTTAGGGATTTATAAATGAAATTATGTGAATTCCTTTTGTAGAATCTAAGTGGAGGGAAAAATAGCTAATACGAAGTATATATGAACTAGGAAAAGTATATACCAAGATATTATATACTATTATACGTCAATCACTTTAATTTCTGCTATCTTTTGGAGAAACAATGTTCTTATGTTCAAACTACAAAAGAATTATATTACGGAGTATGATTTTTTACCTTTTGACTTTATATTTTCCGAATATACTGAGGCTCCTGCTTCCCCATAACCCATATGTTTCTTTATTTAAATACTACCTCCGTTCTTTAATAAGTGCAATGACGTGCACTTTGTCGTGAGGTGCACTCAAAATAATAATCAATACAACACAAATACGTAGTATAGTGAAGTAAGGTTCGTATCCACAGGGAAAGGAATACTTTTCTTCTTACGGAGATAGATAAGTAACAATAAGGGGGGTTTATATTTGGTGGATGAACTTTAAATTATATTTAAACACGAAGATGAACGAGTTATGTGGTTTAATTAATGAGAAGAAGACTTGGCTTTGCTTTTATCCACTTAATGAAATGTTCATCGATCCCGGTTATATCTTTAACTATCTTCCTCTCGAATACTCAATCGAGAAGTATATCCAATTCATCGAGGGTAGTTATTAATAACGAGACGCGTTCATTAATAAAACTTACTACCGAGTTAATATAGAACACGCGTCGTATATTCACTCGATAGTAGCAATAAAATCAAGATGAAAACGATTGAGATTGATAACCTCAACACAAGCGGTTTATTGGTTTAATCAATATAATTAATTCCCCTTGGTTTATTAACCATGAAACGCATGCATTAATAACCCAAGTTTACTACCGCGAAAGGACCGAATTAATAACAAGCGTATTAATCGACCGATTCTAGTA